AAATCCCAGGGATTAAATATTATGAAGGATGAGGGATTGCGCTGAAAGAAAACTTATTTTTGTATGCAAATCATTAGGTTACATGTACAATCTATAACATATATAATAGTACGGATCAACCTTATCAACAAGTGTCACAAAACAATACAGAACAAAACACAAAGTTTAAGTATGAAATATGCATATATTTCAATATATTTGTCAATTACATAGCATACAGTAATTACAGAGTACATTTTATTTTACAATTTCATGAATAAAATGGTTAAAAAGGTTAAACTCCGCTCATGAATATGTTTCAATTTGAGACATAGTATGTGATGTGCTGTAAGTTCATCAGTATATTAAAAGGTTCAATTTGGCGCATTAGTATAGTTCAATTTGGCACGTTATTTATGATGTTCATAATGCCCCAAACTGAACTATGCTAACACGCCAAATTGAACTTTTTAATATACTATTGAATTGAGAGCAGTTCACATACTAAGTCCCAAATTGAAACATACTCATGAACCAAGTTTAACCTTTCAATGTAAAAACAATATAAATAACGCGCCAAATTGAAATATGATAATGCGCCAAATTGAACTTTTTAATATACTGATGAACTTGGAGCACATCACAAAATCCAAAATTGAAACATACTCTCATGAGCCAAGTTCAACGTAACCTTTCAATGTAAGGATTTACTTTGAACATCATAAATAATGCACCAAATTGAACTGCACTAATGCGCCAAATTGAGCTTTTTAATATATTGATGAAGTTCGAGCACTTTGCATACTATGTCCCAAATTGAAACATACTCATGAGCCAAGTTTAACCTTTCAATGTAAGGATGTACTTTGAACATCATAAATAATGCGCCAAATTGAACGATACTAATGCGCCAAATTGAACTTTTTTAATATACTGATGTACTTGAAGCACACCACATACTATATCCCAAATTGAAACATACTAATGAGCCAAGTTTAACCTTTCATTGTAAGGATGTACTTTGAACATCATAAATAATGCGCCAAATTGAACTATACTAATGCACCAAATTGCACTTTTGGATATACTGATGTACTTGGAGCACATCACATACTATGTCCCAAATTGAAACATACTCATGAGCCAAGTTTAACCTTACAATGTAAGGATGTACTTTGAACATCATAAATAATGCGCCAAATTGAACCATGATAATGCGTCAAATTGAACTTTTTAATATACTGATGAACTTGGAGCACATCACAAAATCCAAAATTGAAACATACTCTCATGAGCCAAGTTCAACGTAACCTTTCAATGTAAGGATATACTTTGAACATCATAAATAATGCGCCAAATTGAACTACACTAATGCGCCAAATTGAGCTTTTTAATATATTGATGAAGTTTGTGCAAATCACATACTATGTCCAAAATTGAAACATACTCTCATGAGCCAAGTTCAACCTTTCAATGTAAGGATTTACTTTGAACATCATAAATAATGCGCCAAATTGAACTACACTAATGCGCCAAATTGAGCTTTTTAATATATTGATGAAGTTTGAGCACATCACATACTATGTCCCAAATTGAAATATACTCATGAGCCAAGTTTAACCTTTCAATGTAAAGATGTACTTTGAACATCATAAATAATGCGCCAAATTGAACTATACTAATGCGCCAAATTGAGCTTTTTGATAAATTGATGAAGTTAGAGCACATCATATACTATGTCCCAAATTGAAACATACTCATGAGCCAAGTTTAACCTTTCAATGAAAGGATGTACTTTGAACATCATAAATAATGCGCCAAATTGAACGGTACTAATGCGCCAAATTGAACTTTTTTAATATACTAATGTACTTGAAGCACCTCACATACTATATCCCAAATTGAAACATACTAATGAGCCAAGTTTAACCGTTCATTGTAAGGATGTACTTTGAACATCATAAATAATGCGCCAAATTGAACTATACTAATGCGCCAAATTGCACTTTTTAATATACTGATGTACTTGGAGCACATCACATACTATGTCCCAAATTGAAACATACTCATGAGCCAAGTTTAACCTTACAATGTAAGGATGTACTTTGAACATCATAAATAATGCGTCAAATTGAACTATACTAATGCGCCAAATTGAACTTTTTAATATACTGATGAACTTACAGCACATCACATACTTTGTCCCAAATTGAAACATACTCATGAGCCAAGTTTAACCTTTCAATGTAAGGATGTACTTTGAACATCATAAATAATGCGCCAAATTGAACGATACTAATGCGCCAAATTGAACTTTTTTAATATACTGATGTACTTGAAGCACACCACATACTATATCCCAAATTGAAACATACTCATGAGCCAAGTTTAACCTTACAATGTAAGGATGTACTTTGAACATCATAAATAATGCGCCAAATTGAACTATACTAATGCACCAAATTGCACTTTTGGATATACTGATGTACTTGGAGCACATCACATACTATGTCCCAAATTGAAACATACTCATGAGCCAAGTTTAACCTTTCAATGTAAGGATATACTTTGAACATCATAAATAATGCGCCAAATTGAACTACACTAATGCGCCAAATTGAGCTTTTTAATATATTGATGAAGTTTGAGCAAATCACATACTATGTCCAAAATTGAAACATACTCTCATGAGCCAAGTTCAACCTTTCAATGTAAGGATTTACTTTGAACATCATAAATAATGCGCCAAATTGAACTACACTAATGCGCCAAATTGAGCTTTTTAATATATTGATGAAGTTTGAGCACATCACATACTATGTCCCAAATTGAAATATACTCATGAGCCAAGTTTAACCTTTCAATGTAAAGATGTACTTTGAACATCATAAATAATGCGCCAAATTGAACTATACTAATGCGCCAAATTGAGCTTTTTGATAAATTGATGAAGTTAGAGCACATCACATACTATGTCCCAAATTGAAACATACTAATGAGCCAAGTTTAACCTTTCATTGTAAGGATGTACTTTGAACATCATAAATAATGCGCCAAATTGAACTATACTAATGCACCAAATTGCACTTTTGGATATACTGATGTACTTGGAGCACATCACATACTATGTCCCAAATTGAAATATACTCATGAGCCAAGTTTAACCTTACAATGTAAGGATGTACTTTGAACATCATAAATAATGCGCCAAATTGAACCATGATAATGCGTCAAATTGAACTTTTTTTAATATACTGATGAACTTACAGCACATCACATAGTTTGTCCCAAATTGAAACATACTCATGTGCCAAGTTTAACCTTTCAATGTAAGGATGTACTTTGAACATCATAAATAACGCACCAAATTGAACTATGATAATGCTTCAAATTGAACTTTTTAATATACTGATGTACTTGAAGCACATCACATACCTGTACTATATCCCAAATTGAAACATACTAATGAGCCAAGTTTAACCGTTCATTGTAAGGGTGTACTTTGAACATCATAAATAACGCGCCAAATTGAACTATGATAATGCGCCAAATTGAACTTTTTATTATACTGATGAACTTACAGCACATCACATACTATGTCCCAAATTGAAACATACCCATGAGCCAAGTTTAACCTTTCAATGTAAGGATGTACTTTGAACATCATAAATAACGCGCCAACTTGAACTATGATAATGCGCCAAATTGAAATTTTTAATATACTGATGAACTTGGAGCACATTTCATACTATGTCCCATTGAAACATACTAATGAGCCAAATTTAACCTTTCAATGTAAGTATGTACTTTGAACATCATAAATAACGCGCCAAATTGAACAATGATAATGCGCCAAATCGAACTTTTTAATATACTGATGAACTTAGAGCATGTCACAGACTATTCACAAATTGAAACATACTCATAAGCCAAGTTTAACCTTTCAATACAAGGATGAACTTTGAACATAATAAATAGCGCGCCAAATTGGTCTATACTAATGCGCCAAATTGAACTTTTTAAAATACTGATGTACTTGGAGCACATGACATACTATGCCCCAAATTGAAACATACTCATGAGCCAAGTTTAATCTTTCACTGTAAAGATGTACTTTGAACATCATAAATAATGTGCCAAATTGAACTACATGTATACTAATGCGCCAAATTGAACTTTTTAATATACTGATGTACCTGGAGCACATCACATACTATGTCTCAAATTGAAACATATTCATGAGCCTAGTTTAACCTTTCACTGTTTCTTTCAACTTTGGGGTAATAACTGTGGATTAAAGGTGAAGAAAAGTCATTTATTAAAATCAAAAAAAATAACTTTTCAATGAGTTAATCGATTAATTACAAATTTTAACACAATATTAATCATAGCAAGAGGGACACTAAAGAATCAAATAAATTAGAAAAACTTAATTTGCAAATTATTTTTCTGTGGAAATCATATTAGATATTAATCCTTTAATTCAAAACAAACAGATTAGTTATCAGTGAACAAAACTCA